TATCGGGTCTCACATGCTTCAATTCTATCTCACATGCGGCTACACACTAGCATTACTAGTTGACTCTACATTTTCAACATCTTAGAATTTTAGTGGCACATCACCCCTAGCTACAGATTATGTGCTATTTTTTTCAATTCCAATCTCCTCTTAATTTCATCAAAAGTCATAGAATGAATATATCACCCAGGTTTTCGAAGTCATAACTCAAGTCGAATGAACTTATTCAATCTGATGTGCTAAACATATTATTTATACTTCTGTATTTTTTTTGCTCGGTAAGTGACAAACCTGTTTAACATACCAAACATATTATTCGTGTCCCACTCATTTGTTCTGTATTATTTGTCTTGACTAGTGACGTAATCCTCTTTGCAACTTGACAACCCAAAACTAGAATCATACCTTTATTGGTTAGAATCGCCATTAGGGTTGGACATTGTTCCATTTTCTTTTGGTTTGGTTATGATTTTATTACTTAGATTTCAAATAATAAATGCAAATTAAAATTTATCATCATATCCATAAGTTAGTAATATATACATAAAACTTGAATTTGGTTCTTAGTTCTAGAACTAGAATCAGATCTACCAAATGGTTTTCAATTCTAAGAACAAAATCATTAATTTTTTTTTTTTTTTTTTGTAGAATTGAATCAAATTGCTCTTTTTGATTCGATTGTGGCCAGGCTAATACGTAAGAAAAAAAAAATTCTACTAAAAAAAAATTCAATGGCTGGGGGCTGGACTGGGCTATACCCACAAGAGCCTAAGATGTATATTAAAACTCACATTTGCGCAAAAAAAATAATAATAATAATAATATACAACCCAAACTCTCAAACAAACAACTAATACAAACATCCATGACCCATAAACAATATGCTTTGAGATGAAAGTCCTTGTGTATTTGTATTAATTGTTCCATGCTCTTAAACAATTATAAAACTCAATTATTACCTTTGGGCCAAAATATAATCCAATTATTTAAATAGCAAGCATCCCATAAAAATATTAATAACAATTTTCTCAGCTACCTTTTTTATTTCAGCGATACTTATTCAAATATTAATATAATAGACATGAAATGAACAATAGAGTACAATGCTCAATGATTTAGTATTTTAATGTTGTACAATCCACTTAATTAACAAACCATATTACTAAGGTTTGTTCTTTATTACTACAATTCATATATAAGTTACCATTACAATGGAGCAAAGCTAAAATAATTCCTTATAACTATATATATGAACTCTTTTGGCATTACTAATAAGTTCTCGCGCACCTCGTGGCCTCAGTGCATCAACGGTTGTATTTATTAGCGATCTCGTTGTGATGAAAATTGTAGTCAGAACCGTCTAGTTTGTTGCACCGGATGTTGTATTTAAATTCTAATATTACATTTTTTTTCTTTATATTATATTTAAATTATTATAAAATGATATTTATGCTTTTCTTTCTCTTTATATTCACCTTTTAAGACTTTTTAGATAATTTTAATTTAAATGAGAGCATTGCAATATTTAGATATTTAAAAAAAAAATTCAGTTATAAATCGGGTAACAACTTGTAAATAAAATTATGAAATATTACTTATTTGTAAAAAAATTTACATGTTTATTCAAATATGATTGTGAACGACTTGTTTGCTTACAAATTCATATATTTTCTGATAGTTTATAGCAGGTTCTATATATCTAGTTCATGATCTAAGAATTGTGTTTCGCCAATACAAATCCCACTAAAAATAAACTCAAACATAAAAAGTGCAATATAACATGATAACCCCTAAGGGAAACATCCACGTGTCCCATGCTACGGGTAAATAATCTACTATAGAAAAAGAACACAAACATCTCGTATTACAATTATTTATTGATCACGTCATAGAATATTAATTTAAAACCAAAACTAAACAAAAACAAGGTCACTGAAAATTGTAATACGAGATGTTAAGAAATGGAATCAAGGAAGCGATTTTGATCTTGTGCTACTCTTACTATTATACCCTGATTACTTCACAAATCGAAATAAAACCTCGTTCAATTTCTACACTGAGATGCAACTTCTATAAGTGGATTCCATTCCATCGAGCATAAAAAATTGGCTTCAAACTCTTGAAGATCAAAGGTTGCCAAGAACTTATGAAATCAAAGCTTCAATAGACGTCCCCTCTTTTTCCTAGAAACTAGTTTTAGGCCGTGCAATGCACGGGTGTGGTTATAGATTATGTTAGCGCTGCATATTATATATTCAATGAAGTTAGCTAGATGAACTTTATTTAACAAAATGTATTTTCATAATACAGTTAAACACAAACTTTAAATAAAATAAAAAAAGGAACAATTACTAAAATATTTGACTCCTCTAGACATTATAATTTATAAATGAAAACCAAAGGATATATATATATATATATATTGAACAAAAGAATATTTATAGTTTTTCTGTATGATATTCAGGAATATCAATCAGAGAGGACTTAATCTTGGACTTGTAGATGAACTTCTTCTTCTTCTTCTTCTTTGAAATTTGATTATCTAGTGCGAACACAATCTTCCTAGGGTCATGAGATTTGAAGCTGCAAATGATCTTCGGCTCATCGATGGCCTAATCTTCATCGATTTTTGTACAATCTAAGTGTATCTATCCTAGGTCAGGTCGCGGGGGTCGAGATGGTAGCCCCC